TTCAAAATATAGAGAATTGGAGATTTGTGGAGTGAGGCCTAGTAAAAGTACAGAGCATGAATATCAGCTCTCCTGCTGTTCACTGGGAGTTGTTAGAGTGGGTCATTATTCTCAGTTTCACAACTTCCATTCTCCTAGCTGGCTTCCTGGGTTGTAGGTCTGATCTCCAGGAAAACCTCTCTTGGCAGCTCTGAGGCACAGATGTATGTCTTCTCTCTGGTTTTTATTGGAACCTACATTTCACATTATACCCTTTCTTGGATTAGCTATTCCTGACTTCCTTGCCACCCCGTCACTCCTCACGGTTGCCGTAGATAGCAAAACCTGTCCTCCTTTCAGAAGGAGTCTCTGTGGAGTCCTCTGTGCAGCAGTCAGAATGGGGTGCCAGGAAGCTTCTCACTTTGCTGTCCAGACAAACCTGTCCATAAAACATGTTATATAGCGTATCTATAGTTATGTGAACTGGTAAACAATAGGAAAAAAAGCTTCCATCTTGCTAGAGATGTTCCTTCTGGAAAAGAAAGATTACTGTGAAAATAGCAGTTACTGAAGTGGTGATGTAAAGGAAGCATCAGATGTTTGGATGTAGTTGCATGCTGACATATGATAGCCTGCTGAAGCTATATTTTTGGCAAATACACTGAAGGCGGTGGCTCCAAGAGCTGTTCAATTGATCTAATAACTTGTTGCTGCTGAAATGAAGAAGACCCACTTCCACCTCGTTTTTCCCATCCCTTATTTGCAGCTGTGTGGTCCTGACTTCTGCCTKCTGAACAGCCATGCCAACTCCCTCTCACTCGATGGAACCTCACACCAGCTACTTATTCCAAAATAACAGTAGAAACTTATAAAGCTATACTCCTTTGATGATTAATTTCTTGCCATGTGAGTTTGTGGGGTGAATCTACCCATGCAGGAGTTCAGTCAGGCTTTGTGCCAGAACAAGCTAAATGGTGGGAGAACCCTTACTAGGGGAGCCTTAAGGAGAGGGCTATCTTATTTTGATGCAGAAAACCATCAGCTGACTCAGCTGACGGGAGCATCAGTTTTTAGTGTGCAAATGACCACCAAAGCTATAACAGTAGAGGACAGTAGAAGGAAAACAAGGAAATTTAAGAATAATAAAGAAAAGAAATCTTTTGTGCATAAGAGRAAGGTGAAGGATGCCAGATATATTACCACATTACAAAATATCCTGCTAAGGGATCAGGAGAGAGAAAGAAACACAGAAGATCAAGTTCCAAGAATGTGCATTTATCCCAGTAAGTTACCCTGACAGACCACCTGAATGGTTTATTATTTTCTTTGGATATGTGGGCAATTCTTGAACAAAGTGATTTGGCTAAAAAAGGTCACACAGAATTGAAAAAATACCTTAGGGTGGTTGTATCCGAGCATTATTCTATGGGAGTTAGCAACACTGTACAGAAGAAATGGAAGCAACTCTCAAGTCAGCAGTGGATGGAGGACTACATGACTTAATGCTGATGAATATGCAACACATTCTTTGTTTTCAGGTTTGTTGTTAATATRGTTAAAAATACTATAACATAATACAACATAATAGTATTATGTAGTTATTCCCTGCCATTCAGAGAGACCTGCTGCCATTCAGAGGGACCTGGAGGGACTTGAGAGTTGGCCAGAGAGGAACCTCATGAGGTTCAACAAGGACAATTGCAGGGTCCTGAACCTGGAGAGGAATAACCCAAGGCATCAGGACAGATTAGGGGTACACCTGCTGGAAAGCAGCTCYGAGGAGAGGGATCTGAGACTCCTGGTTGACAAGTTAACCACAAGGCAGCAGTGCCCTTGTGGCCAAGAAGGCCAATGGGATCCTGGCCTGCATCAGAAGGAGTGTCGCCAGCAGGTYAAGGGAGGTGATCCTGCCCCTCTGCTCAGCTCTGGTGAGGCTGCACCTGGAATACTGTGTGCAGTGCTGGGCTCCCCAGTATAAGAGGGATGTGGAGCTCCTGGAGAGGGTCCAGTGGAGACCAACTAAGATGATTAAGGGACTGSAGCATCTCTCGTATGAGGAAAGACTAAGTGAGCTCGGCCTGTTTAGCTTGGAGAAAACAAGGTTGAGAGGGGATCTGATCAGTATGTATAAACATCTGAGGGGAGAATATAGGGAGGAAGGGGCCAAACTCTTCTTCAGTGGTGACAAGGGGCAATGGGTGTAAGCTGAAACACAGGAAGTTCTATCAGCATGTGAGGAAGAACTTCTTGGCTGTGAGGATGACAGAACCCTGGAACAGGCTGCCCAGGGAGGCTGTGGAGTCTCCTTCTCTGGAGATCTTCAAAACCCACCTGAATGCCACCCTCTACCACGTACTACAGGTGTCCCTGCAGGAGCAGAGGGGTTGGACTAGATGCTCTCTAGAGGTCCCTTGCAACCTAAACCATTCTGTGATTCTGTAATTCTATTGTTAAGGATCATATATTAATATATATCAACTATATTGTCTGAACAAATAATGAATATTTGAATAATTTAAAAAGCAGATATGGAATGATATAGACAAAGACATTGTACCAAATTCTTCATAACATCAGATTTGTAACAACAGCTCTCCTAAAGACATCCACTGCCAAGCTTGAATATACAGTCTGARTGTCTGGAGTGGTCATATAAGACAATTCTGTGACCTCTTCTCATCACAATGAACCTTTTAAAGAGTCTCTGTATTCAAGGATCTCACTAAATAATTAGTGCAGACTATTCCAGGCTTGATTCTGGATACAATTCAGTTGGCAGTTACTGCTTGCCAAGGCAGACTCTACTGCCCATCCCATTCTCAACCTACCCTAATTCCCTTTATGAGTTTATTATTTAGTGCTGGCTTAGTGCTCAGAGGAGCCCCAAACAGGAAGCGTCTGGGCGTTCTCTGTTCATGGAGTGGGTGGGATGGAGCTCTTTAGAGAAAACAAAATATGATCCGCCTACAGATCATGTTAGGCCATCTCCCCAATTTCCTCTAAGTAGTACAGAGGCCTCTGTTACCTTGGTTACTGGAATGATCTACTAGTCAACAGCAGAATCCCAGTCCCCAGACAGAACATCCTCTGCAATTCTGATGGAAGCATAGGATGGGAAATATCCACTTTTCTATTTCCGAGTTTAAAAAAAGAAGCTATTTAACAGTTACCCTTTAAAAAAAAATATATGCAAGGTCATCAAGCGAGCATTGTCTGGCAGAGGGTTAGAGCTTCCACTGTATCAACATTCATAGATGCTTTATTTTCCATTTCTTTCTTAACAAAGAAAGAATAATAGAAATTCCATGCTAAATTTGAAAAAAAAATAACCAGAGTGCATCCAGTTATATTTGTACAGACGAATCTGTCTAAAATTTGTACTAATTCCAGGTAGAAGTAAAATTGTTCTCCTTCTCACCAAAAGTATAGCTATTGTGGTGAAGAACATCATTGTGGTCTAATGTTCTTCAAATATATAAGCTGGAAAACACCACTCATCTTCTTCCTCTGAAAACCAGTATCAAGACCAAAGTCTTCTGTATTTGAAAACAAGAATTTCAGAATGGTGATACCTAGTTGATAAAGTACACTGAAAGAATGTCCAAAACAAGGAAAGTAAAGTGTCTCCAAAAAAAAYGAGATTGAGTCTCCTCTTTCCATGAGTGGTATAATATGAAGCAACAATTCCATGATAACCAAAACATCCCTAAGTTTGTGTTGTCACATGCTCGCTTGCTCTATGAGCCAAGAGTAGAGCAGCATGAACGCCAGCATCAGAGCAAGGAAGGGTTAAGGGGTCCCTGATGGGACAGGGAGTCTGAGCAGCTCCATGCCACTGTGATGCTGGAGAGACCAAACATGAGAGTAATACCGCTGAAAGACTTAAGAAGACAAGAAAGCCTTTGGATTTTTTTTTTWAAACTTTTGTTTTCTCTGTGCAAATCTAGTTAGAGTGCTTCAGGTTTGTGTGTTGTTGGTGAATTTGAAATTTCCATTTAGTTTAATTCAGGTTTTAGAATTTGGAACAAGACATTTATAAGAATCTCAAATTATTGTAAATCAACATCGCTTTTTAAGAACATTTTAATACATTTATTAAAAAATATTTTTACTTATATTGTTAAAAATAGTATAGGGTATGCATAATAAGAGAAAGCTGAAAACCAGTTTATATTTCACTTTAAGTGCCACTCTTAARAACTAGCAATTTGCTCAGCTAGCATAAAACATCTTTATTTGCACTTTCAATAAATTTCTGACATTCACACACTGTTGCAGTTACACTATTCAAGCTGCAGAATACTGCTTATGTCTAAAAGAAAACCAGCTACATGTATAAATTTCAATATTTTTAATGCAAAAATCACAAGCAGTGATGTAAAAATTAGATGAATTATTTTAATGGCAATTTCTTTACATTTTCTGAAGAAAAGTTTTAGCTCAAATTACCTGCTATGGTTCCTTTCTGAAAAGGAAAGGGTAGMAAGCTTTTTTAATTTAATGACTGGCAGGATTTTAAGAGTGGAGAGTTCCTTTACAGCAGGATTTACAGTCCATTTCTTCTGCAGAGACCATAAGTGGAACTGAGAGTTTCTCAGATGAAGGCTTTGTGGGGACATTGTGTTATTTTATTTCTGCCTAATCTGTTTTATCACAAAGCTTATTATTTTTACTAATGCCAAACATATCAAGTGTGATTGACAAATATTTGACAGGCAAATGGCTGTTTCTGAGCTTCAGAGTTAAAGCCTGGGTGTACAGAGCCTGTCCTTATCCCCACTGCATTTTCTGTGAGAAACTGGCATCCACTGATTTTCACGGTTTCTTTTCATTTGCCGGGCTTTCAGTCCCTTCTGCAGGACGGCATAATAGCTGCCTTCTATCTTCGCCACTCCTGCTTCAGCATTGCCCTGACTCCCAGCCATGAAACAGCGGTAAAAGCGACACCCTTGGCTCCCCTGGAGCGGGGATAAGGGGTAAAGTCCCAGGGCAGGCCGGGCTGCGCTGTGTGCTGCGGGGCCATGGCGAGCAGCACGCTGCAGCTGCGCGCGCTTCTCTACGCGGTGCTGCCGAGCGAGAGCCGCTTCCGCTCGCTGCATGAGGTGCCCAACTACGTGGAGAAGGTGAGCGGAGACCCTGCGCAGCCCCGCGCCCTTCCGCGCTGCCTCGCGGCCCTGGGAAGTGATAGAATAGGGTTGTGCGCCCTGCCTTCTCTTCCCAGGACAGGAGGAACCCTGGAGCCCCTGTTTAATGCTGTCTGTGAGGCCGTGAGCTTTTTGTGTTCGCTTATTTTTGCATGTAAASCCTCTCCCTGGTAGCTGGAGTCTGCAAGTGTGCTCCCTGATAAGAGAGCACCGATGCTAACGGTCCCAACTGGCAGTGCTACTGGATGGAATGACAGCAAAGTGAGCTGCCTAACACCCTACATAATGCAGGTTTATGCTGTTCAGCAYAAAACCCCTAGGGTTCCACCTTTTAGTTCTTAAAGCATGTAAAGTTTCCTTTTTCTCTCTGTTTTCCTTTTTTTTTAAAAAAAAAAAAAAGTTCAAGAGAAGAACAAATACTGTTAGTGAGGCAATGCAGTCTCCTAGAGCTCAAAGGCAAGAGTACAGAGGTCAGACAGAGAAATCATTTGATTGCAGCCTGTCAGCAGGCAGTGACACATTCCTCTCTCTTCCCTCCSTGTCGACTTATCCAGCCCTATGGTGGTACCTTTGCTCCCTTCTCTGCTACTGATCCTGACCTGCAGGGCTTGCTTTGCCTGAAGCCAGTGGGAGTTTTGCTCAGGAATCACAGACAAACTCTATCTCACCCTCATTAGAGGCGAATTCAATCAAGTTCCTGCTGATCCACAGTTGCATTTGCAGGTCCTGATGGCTCAGGCTGACTCCCRTGAACTCTGACTTGCTGCACAGTGGCTGCAAACAAGCAGTGACGGGGTGTCATAAATACATTGGGCAGAGAAGTAAAGCAGAGTCAGCAGCTTTCTAGGAACAATTTTTCCAGGAACTAGTGCACAGCAGCCCATTGGTAACAGCAAACATTGTATCAGCAAACACTACTCTTCTGAATGGGGTAGGGAGAACACTGCTGCAAACCCAGCTGCTCTGCACAGTGGCTGTCCAGGGGCTGCTTTCCTCACCAGYGTTTWGCAGCTAAGCTTAGTGTAGTGGTCYCTTGAATTTGTCTATGATAAAAATTTTGCCTATTCAGCTGATCTCTCTCCATCTCTATCTAATCGAGATTGCTTTTACTRTACTCCTATTCCCACCTGAGTATCATCCACTTCCTTGGAAACTGCTTGCGAGCAGTTTACATCAATATCCCTGGACTTTCTTCTKCTGTAAGGACTCCTATGAATATTCAACTCAGACCTTGGTCACACCTGGTATTTCTACTCCTGGGCACATTGAGTCATACCCGCTGAAGTTTAATGAAGGAATCTTGATCCTGCTTCAGTAAGGATTCAGCAGGGATACATGGAGAYTAATAGTGGTGTTCAAGGAGGTCTTGGAGGGATAACTCCTGTCGCTACAGCTAGGAATAGGGTCGCTGTCTGAACTCAGGCCAGTGCAGGGGGAAACTTTCTAGCTTAGAGCTGCTGGGAACAAGTGACAGGCCTCAGTTCATATGAAAAACAATGTTGATGACATGGAGGTCATACAAGCTACTGATTGAACTAGAAGCTCCTAAAAATTTCTTCTCCTGAAYTAACAAATAGAAGTGGTAATGGGATAAGAATTATTCCAGTGCTTCAGGTTCTTTCATATCTACTTGAAGGATGAAGGTATATCCGGCATAGTAGATCTCATAGCTACAATTGTGTGTGTGTGGGGGGGGGGGGGGGGGGAGGGGGAGGGGGGCACCTTGTAATTCATTCATATATTCAGATAGTCCTGATATGGCTGATAGACTACCTGTAGCTAGGTGCAAAGTTCTGCAGCAGTACCCAGAGAAAAATGTGTCCATCTGGTCTTCAAAACCCTTGGAAGGGGGTTCAAATCCAGGACCATAATAAGGGAATTCATTTTTCATGTGAACTTTTGCTGTGCATAGTTTGAAAGACATAATTTCTCTTTGTTTTGGATACAGAAAAGAAAGTACAAATCAATTTTCCTTTTCTGTGGCAGTACATCCAGACTGTTGCAATATATTGTGATGCTTACTTTGTCCTTCCATGCTGATTTTCTTTGCTACGTGTATAAGAAGTTTATGGTCTGCATTCTCAGTTTCTTAGATTCTCTCTTACTCCACAATAGGCACGTGTAGTGATTTTCTTTGTGTGCTACWTACAGTTTTCATAAACAGTAGTAACTTTTCTTTTTGTTATATACCACTTGGGCTGCTTTAAGACCTTTCTGTAGTTGACTCAGAAGTAGGCAGCACATCTCAATTTTTCATAATTCTTGTGCTGAAAGCCCCCAAATGAAAACATTAATTTAATAATCACTGTTTTTCTTTTCTATTTACTCTTTACTTTTAGAATCCACAGATTAAGTTCACATTTGCACTCAGTTCACATTTTTAGGTTTCACTCCTAAATAATGAGATACAGAACTCTTACTTTGTTTTACAGGAAAGTTGAGATTCTTATGTTATAAGGACCTGGGACTTTAAGAAAACAAACTACTTCAAGACTTGCCACAAAATCATGAATTTATGCAGACCAAGTTCTCATTTTTTTTGCAACTATATAAAGTAAAGGCTGATTTTAATTGGTCCTTTGCCTTCTGTCAAAATGGATTATTTGTGTATAAGGAAAACCTTCCTGTTTGGTGTTCAGAATAAGACTTTCAAGTTACAGATCAGTAGTTCAAATAAACTACAAAAACTAACCCCAATCCCCATTAATGCTAATGGGTGAAGAAAAAGAAATTACAAACAGAGAGAGAGAGTAAAACATTATAGAATGAAAACGGATCAGTCTCTGTGTCTGTCCTGTGAGGCCAACAGCATCTTTTCCTTAGCTTTGTGTTTRCTCCCACTTTATTTGCAAGGACACTTCTTGAAAAGGTTTTGAGAGCTACATAGATTCTCTGGTTTCTTAAATAACTAACTTGCTATGTAATGACTAGTCTACTGAAGACTATTGCCTGTCTAGCWGACTGTCTCCTTTTTCCCTTGCATTACCTGCATTATCCATGTGCACTCATTGTATCTCCTGCTCAGACACAGCTTTTTGGGGCAGGAAATACCTTTTCTTTCTGTTTGTGCAGCAGCAAGCACAGATGGATTTTAATGCATGACTTTAGCTCTTAGGTGTTATGGCCATACAAATTATCCATATCAGACCAGTACATAGTCAATCATTGGTCTCCTCAGATCTTAGTTAATCATTTATTTTCTTTGGAAATAGCATTTTGTGCGTGCGCAGGGAGAGGTAGTAATTTCTTAGGCACTAAGAAGCTCCTTGGTGGGCAGGAGGGTGATGATATCTGAGTGTTTCTCTGCCCTCCTTGTTGCAGCACTCTCAAGCTGTGAGTCAAAAAGCTTAGTCAAGAGCTTGGCTGTCTTACAGCTTCATGGTGGAAAGAAAACACGAAATTAGAAACTACATGTGTTAGTATAAAGTCAAGCATATTAACAGTTTCAGATACTGTTGGCATCATATACTTCCAATTCACTATTTTTAATTTCTAAGTCAAGGAATCCAGTTGGTATACTGTCCTGAGCCTGCAATTTGCAGTAGAGCTTCTGCTGCTCCATAACGTCAAACTGCCGATAGTCTGTATTCTATCATAGTTATTTGGTCCTGAAAGAGAACCGTATTATGAACCTGATTGAAACAGCTCCATAGGGTTCTGTGATGAAAATATCACCTAAATGAACTGTTGCTATTTGCAGCAGAAAGCATGGCAACAGAAATGCCAAGTAGAAAGAAACAATTCAGTGGCTGAACAAGTTTAAAAACAGCTTACCTTTCAACTGCAAAGTAGCTTCTATTTTAGCTTGTGGTTAGAGGTGTTCACAAATGTTGCTGGTCTCTCAGATTTACTTGAGTGTGAGAAATATGAGTTTGGATTTTTTATTTGTATTTTTCTTTTAGTGACTTTTAGCAATTTTATATTATATCAAATATGTATTGTTTTTACATACAAAAATATGATAGAGGATGAGGTTAATGTACCAGGATTTATGCTGGTAGTATAAATTAAATGCAAGTTTTAGTTGTTCTCATTCATAAAGTCCATGATGTGCTTTACTGCATTTATGAGCATACAATACTAGCTAGGAGGGTGCCAGCCAAGTTGAGAAATATTCAGCTGCATAAACCATTGTTTGGAAATGTATGTAATTCTATTAGCACTGTGACTTCTTTTCTTCACATTCTTTTTCAGAGTATTCCATTCTTTATTGGTTTTATAGCACTGGAGTTTGCTGTCAGTTGGGTTCAGAGGCGGAAACTGGCAGGTCGGATCAATGATGGAATAAGTTCTCTGTCTTTAGGGATCCTATCTCGACTGCCAGAGTAAGTAAAAATATTGTATTAATCTAAGGTTGTTTTTAATCACTAAAAAGGAAGAAAATAATTATATTTTAAATTGCTATTGCTAATCTACTTTGATTAAACAAAGTTTAATGGTGGATTTTACTTTGCTAGAATGAAGTTGCATAAAAAGCCTTTCTGATCTGAAAGACTAAATATGATGCTGAAGGATATTTTCCTTCATTTATATTTGTAAGTGTCTTGTTYGTCACTTTTTGTTGATTCTGAATCTTCAGTTGGCTTGGCTGTATCTTGTGCTAGATCCGTATGTTCAGGTCTATGTTTTCTTTCATTAACCTTTAGAAAACATGTCCATTATTTTCCTTAGCATTTTAAAATAAAATTTSATCTGAATGCATCTGAATGTAATTGGACAGATGATAGAATTGTCAATATGCACATGATCTAAAGTTCTTTGAATTCAGTCACAATCTGGGGTGGAATAATCTCCAGTAGAATCAGAGTGTCTGAAAGAAATATGAAGACCATCTAATCTTCTCCCCTGCACAGAGGCCATCGGAATTGCCAGAGTCATAGCTTAGGGTGAAAGGAATTATACGTTTAAAAAATATTCAGTARTAAGGGATCCAGCAAAGTCTCTAGATATTGCTCTAACTGATAATTGCTTTTAATAAAGATTGTATTCTGAATCTACATTTGATGATGTGAGCTTCCAGACAAAGGATGTTACTATAGCCACTTAAGAAGTTAGGTAGATATATATTAAGAATATCACTTAGATACATTCTGCCATACTATTTATATATCTGCAAATAAGAGACATGTACTTTAATCATGAGAATTTTTTAAAAATAACATCTAGGTTTTTTGAGAATTTCATGAAGCTGTTTTTGCTACTAGTGAATAGTCTATACTCAAATCATTTTGTAAACTTCCTTTTAGTGTATGACTCATGAACATGATCTTGAGGGAGAAACATTTATTACTATGTAAAAATACAACAAAAACTAAATATAGTACATTAGACTTGTGTGCACCATAACTTTTCACTGCCGAAGGCTTGCTTAAAGTTGCATGCAGCTGAAATTGGAAATATTCAAACGTAGTTTCTTCAATAACAGAGTTTTCTAGAGAGCATGCACTTCACAGGTTTCCGTGTTAACCAGTTGTTTTTCAGATTGGAAATATCCATGACTAATGAAACTAAACCAAGGGACCAAAATATGTGTTAGGAAGTTTGAATGGCTTTGTGAAGATCTCTCAATTTTATTTTAAGAATACTAAAATATTCCAGACATATTAATTCCTGGAAAAAGTGCTGTTAGGGAAGATAATGCTGCAWGTGTGGAGCTCTGCTTTGCAAGGTGCTGAGTACCTTTAGCGTTGTATCAATCAGTACTTTTCTGCAGAATTTGGCTTGAAGGCTACGTGTTTTTTGCCAAGAAGTGTTTTGCCAGACTGGTCCAATAGTGAATTAAATGACCCTTAAGGTCATAGACCTTGCTGAATCAGGATCGATACACTTACCCATTGGACAGAGCAACACAAGAGTTTTCATCCGGGTCACTTGCACTGCTGCCTCATGGCAGAAACATGAGACCTTTTTCTGCTGTTTTTTTTTTTTTTCCTGACTAAGAATTCTGAAAAAAAATATATAACTTTCTGTCCCAAAGTGTAAGAAATAGGTAAAATACAGATTTTCTRAATAATTTAATTAGATGTTAATTCCAGAATTGTAATGATGGTTGTTTAGTATGACACCTCTTTTATAAGTAAGRGAAGTAATGAATAATAGACTGGCTAAAAGGGCTTGAACTGAAGAAATAGAACCTTTTACCCTCTGTCTTTTTCCGTTTCCATGGTGTGAAAGAATTGGGTCAGAAAAGAGAGAAAGGGTGAAAAAAAGCACAAGAAGAATCTGTTGCTGAGATTTTCACTTCAGTCTTTCTTTTTCAGCCAGAAAAAAAAAGGTAGGGAAATCTGACAGAAACTGCTAAAACAATATTTCAGCAGAACCCACAGCATCAGGGGAAATAGTAGTGCAAATCATTAACAGCTGAAGGTTAGATTAACACACCATTGATTGTATCCTCTCCCAGGGACTAATTTTCATTTTCTCAACTAGCAGCAATGGTTTGCCACWTCCTTAAAAAATCTGTGGTTGAATCTAAAATGGTGAGCTTCAGTCTATTAGTTAGATGCATCACTGMAAAGAGGTTTTACATTCAATGAAAAAATCAGAAGTCACAGACCATATTCAAGGTCTAAGTAAACCTTTTTCCATTTCACAGTCTGTATAACAGAAATGCTGCATATCTTGAGGGAAAACAGGATTTACTCAGAATTTCTTACTTCACTGTTGGAGCAAATGCAAAATATAAATTGATATACATATGCCAAATATTAAAAATACAGGTGTAAGAGACCTAATTAGACCAGATAATATATTTTGCTTTTAAGCTATCAAGCTCAAGAGCATGTACTAAGTAGAGTTGTATTCATACCCCTTCTTGTAAAATAAACCCTRTACTACTTAAATACAATTTTCTCTGCCTACATGCGTACTATGCATTCCTCTGCATGTATGAATACCAGAATTTATATGCAATGAAAAGTAATTTTGGGAAAAGGGAGAAATTTGAATTACTGATCTTGCTTCCAGCATCTTAAATGTTGGTGGTTAAAAAAATTCTGAGAACTGTTATTCAAAATAAATAAATAAATTTCTGACTAACCATTGCCAGGAGGTTTGAAATACTGCTTTAAAAATAGTCTCCCTAGAGAAAGTTTATTTCGGGAATAAATATCCACTCTACAAGTATGTGCATTATTTCATACTGGTCCATTTCTTCTTTTAAAGCAGCAGAACATAAATCAAATCAAAATGTGTTTGGGGGATAACTGAGGTAGGTACATTTTCTAACTAGTTGGGAAATTCTCCACTTTTTATGGTCATGCTCAATTGCCGAYTTTTAGTGTTCAGCTCTGCAGCACATAGCCATACTGTGTGTATGAGTGCATTTATATGACTAACAGTTTTGATAGTCAAATTCTGCAATTGACTTCCCCATTTCTAATGAGGATGTATTTTTTAGTTCTTCTTTACTTTGTTTTGAAACGGAGGACATCAAAGTTCTCTGAAGTGTTGTTGAACATCAGAAAAGGAAGGGAAGATGCCTTTGATCATACTCTTATGCATCTTAAGAAATTTTCACATCAGTAGCATTTAGTTTACAGAAGAGAGAAAGAGGTTTTGTATTATTTTGGTAATTTTCAGTGAGAATTTTGTACATAATCCAGCTTTTTTATTTTTTTTTTCTCTAGAAGTGAGATTGAAGCGTCAATTTAATGTACATTTTAGGACAGCAAGGCTACCAAAACAAGAAGCGGTCTTGYCTAATGTGTCTCTAGCTGCTCATTGCCACCTCTACACCTTCTCTCCCCTTTTGCCAGCATAAGAATTTGTGCCTCCCGAAGGTGAATTGTCCCAGGAAGCTGGTCTGGATTAACTGCAACCTTCCCTTGTCCCCTTCAAACCATGTTAAACTTCATCAGTTCTTACCACAGCAGTGTGAAGACTTGTAACAGAACAAGAAATGGATGTAGAAAAAGCAGTCAAGGTTGCAGGATAGGAAATACTTGCTTCTTTTTAACATTACAGAATTATCCAGATTAAAATGTAGGTAAAATTGCAAACAAGAATTTTGCACTTTGCATTTGCAACAGTATACAGAATTGATTAGATTGCTTTCTGTTCAAACTGCCATAGGCTGTTCCTACTCTGGAAAGCTTGTACTGTTCTGTAACACAAATACTTGCCTGTATAGATACTTCCATTTAAAGCATGCCTTGTTTTCTGAAGTGTCTACTAGGTGCTTCACTACAAGTATGACAGTAGAAAATATAATTTCATAAATTAKTTACTATACCACTTAGAAGAAAAGCTGGTAGATGCAACTTCTCATAAATTATATTTTCACTTCAAGACTTACTAGCCACATTTTTTCTCCACATCTGTTTGACTAAGGCTTTGGACAGATGTTTACTTAGAGCGTGGTCAGATGTGTTGCTYCTGATCCAGCTGCCCCCTTAGATCTGCCAACATAACTGCGCATTTAATTGCTCCCTAACCTGATCCTGACAAAGTGATCCAGCTAAAAGCAGAAACAAAAGCCCCCCAAGAACTATAAAAGAGGTGTTTAGGCTCAGCTGCATTCGTTTTGACAGAACCAGGTCAGGGAGCAGCTATGCACACAATTATGCTGGCAGGTCTGCGGGCTGGTAACCACCAGACTAGGGCAGTGATGAGCAGATGGGACCAAACTGGAAAGGTAATCACRCAGCAGGGAGAAACGGCAGCTTGGGCTGGGGTACCATGCCCCTAAACCAGTCTAACTTCTGGCTACTGCGGCTTTGTCCTCCCTGCTCTTCCTTACGCCTCTTCTCTTGTGCTGGTTCAGGTGCTCATCTGATTTGGTCCTGAGGTATTTCTCTTCACTAGGAGCAAATAAGTAGTCGTATACAYGTTGAGGGAGAGCAAAGTGAGTGGGACTGGGGTGTAGTGGAGCTGTGGTTGTGACCATGCCCTTAGCAGCTAAATGTTGCAAGTTACGTGTCTTATCTTACACGTCAGTAGGTGTTTCCAATAAAATAGGATTTTGCTAAGTAACGAGGCTGAAGAGACAGAATCTRTTTACCTCCCCGACCATCCCACTCTTCCGTCAGCACAGCTCTGTCACACAGTTCATCACAGCMCCATCATGGCTGCCTGTCCTGTAGATACTGCTAGCTGTAGATACTGCCACCTTTGGCAAAGATTACTTAGAGCTCTGTCAGAAAAACAGGTTTTGAAGGAACTTGCTAATCTTGAGGGAAAGCAAGTTATAGAATAGATAGTTGGGCAGTATGCTGCAGCAGGGGATGGCAGCATTTTCAGAAAGCAAACCTTGACCTCAAAGAGAGCAGAYTGACCTGTCAAACAGTTTTCAAACAGGCTCATGGAAGAGACTGTCTGCACGGAC